GTAACGTTGAACATGACTGACTGATAGGGAACTAAATGTTAAAATTACATTATAATAATAATAATAAAACCACACAGAACTTCTTAATGTCCCCAATACCAAAGACAAAAGCAGATTAGTCTGCCTAAGAATTATTTCGTTTTTTTATGTCCATTCTTATTTCGGAACCAACCTTAAAACTAAATCCACCCCACGTCTCTGGTGTTTAGGCTGATTGACGTGTTGTGTATGGAGGAAGAGTGCTCCGCAGGACTGTCTCCCCAACTGTTTCTGCTTTGGTCCACAGAGACAGTTTCTCAAGCTTGTATCAACTCCATCTCCCCGTCTACACACATCAGTGGTTATTTGAGATATGAGCCCCAACTCTTTCTTTGGGAGACCTTGTCTAGCATTGAAATATTAAACAACCTCAGAAAGTTTAAGGGGAAAATAATTTAAGTTTTCATTAAACCTTAACTTTAAAAATGATAGGAAAAATATTTAGATCAGCAATAAACTGATTTAAAAAAAAGAAAAGAAAAAAGAAGCAAGCCTGCAATGTGCCAGGCAATTTGTTTATTTATACTAATGAGTTCAGAGTGATGATGACCTAATTATTTTCATAAATCTGTGTGCTCTTGATACCACCAGTGTGATCCCCTCCTGCGGTTTGGATCTAGTCTGGTTTATCCAGAAGTATGTGTCAATGAAATGATTACTTACTGTACTGAGGGGTTCATGCATTAAATATTGCTTTTAAAATAGAGCATTCAGCTGTCTCTCATCTACAAAACAGTCATAAAGTATATTTATGTTTCAATAGATCTCTGGCAACTCACCTATAAAATAAAACTTTAATCATAGGGAGTTTTCATTAAAAAGACTTAAAATGGTCATATTATAAATATTTTTCTCTGAGGTCCACTTATAATGTTAGTCAATTTTTGATCCCAAACACTTATTTGAGTTTTTCATGCCCATTTCAATGAAACAGGCCATATCCTAAACCCTCTAACAGTGTTGCCATGTGTGCTTACTATAAGCAACTTTGGCTTTGTTTTTCATAGTAATTTACAAATTTGCACAGCAGTGGCAATTGCATTTTATGGGTTTATTTCCAAAATAAACATGGGTGTTCAAGAGAGAAAGAGAGAGACATATTGATTGGATTTGGTTGACCATTTATACTGTATGTGGAACAGTTTAATTATTTTTGTAAATAGAAAATGCAATTTAGAATTATTTTATGCACTTTATGCACAACAAATGAGATTAAAAAACATGCTATACTACTTAATCCAAAATTATCCATAATGTATTTTCAATTATAAATTGCATATCAAATTGAATTAAATCAAATAAAAAAATCTCTCTTTCTTTGTTATTTTAGTTAGTTTATTGTTAGCAAGCTAACCAATAAGCCTGTTGTCACAGTTCTGTTAGTTTGGACTTTTTCTGTTTCACCACCTTCTGCCCGAGTTAGTCGTTTGTTGTCTTGGTCACTCATTATGTTCAGCTGCGCACTCATTATCTCCCTCATTATCACGTAAGTTCAGTTCTGCTTGTGTTTCATTGTTGGGTATTGTCTATGTCACAGTACATGCGTGTATCTGTCACGGTTTGGGTTTTGTGTCTTGCTCCTTGTTCTTGTATGTCAGGTGATTCCCTGTTTGCCATGTGTCTTGTCTATTGTTCCCAGGTGTTTCTCGTTAGCCACGCCCCCTTGTTATCTCGTTTAGCTTGTTTGTCCTTGTATTTAAGCCCTGTGTTTCAGTTCAGTCCTTGTGAGTTCTTATGTTGTTGTAATGTTTGCCTGTAGCTGTCTCCTTGTTCCTGTTCTGAGTTTCCCCTGGATTACCTTTTGTTTAATTAAATGTGTGCTTGCAATTGGATTCACTCTTCGTCTCTGCTTCAACGTGACAGAAGAACTCACCAACACTGAATCCAGCTGCATGTTCGCCAGTGTCTCTTCTCCAGCCACCGAGCGGAGGAGAGGCCACTCTTTTGAGGGGACCCGGTTGGTCAAGTTTCATGGGACACGTGGAGGCCTCAGTAGAGGAGGTGGTCGAGAGGAGCCCCGACACCACTCTCCACGCTGGCCATTCTTCGACCCTGGGTTGGTGATGTCCAGCCCAGGGCCCCATTCGCCGCTGTTCCCGTCCAGCCCAGAGCTTCACGTCAGCCACGTCCAGCCAGAGCTTCACGTCAGCCACTTCCAGCCAGAGCTTCACGTCAGCCACGTCCAGCCAGAGCTTCACGTCAGACACGTCCAGCCAGAGCTTCACGTCAGCCACGTCCAGCCAGAGCTTCACGTCAGCCACGTCCAGCCAGAGCTTCACGTCAGCCACGTCCAGCCAGAGCTTCACGTCAGCCACGTCCAGCCAGAGACCGTCCAGCCAGAGACCGTCCACGTCACGTCTGCCCAGCCAGAGACTGTTCGCGTCGCGTCTGCCCAGCCGGAGACTGTTCGCGTCACGTCTGCCCAGCCAGAGACTGTTCACGTCACGTCTGCCCAGCCGGAGACTGTTCACGTCACGTCTGCCCAGCCAGATACTGTTCACGTCACGTCTTCCCAGTCAGAGACCGTTCACGCCACGTATGTGACCGCAACACTGGCCATTATGGCCACAGCCATGTGGTGTGGGTGGGCTGCGCACACACTGGAGCCAGTGTCTGCTGTTCCTGAGCCCGTGCCGGTGTCTGTTCCTGAGCCCGAGCCGGTGTCCGTTCCTGAGCCTGAGCCGTTGTCCGTTCCTGAGCCTGAGCCGGTGTCTTTTCCTGAGCCTGAGCCGGAGTCTGTTCCTGAGCCGGTGACTGCTCCTGCCTATGACCCCGTAACTACCCTCAAGAAATTTTTGGGGGGGGGGGGCAGTAGGTCCTCGCCGTGGCAACTTAGGGGCCCACGGCCACCAGAAAGATCCTCACCGCCATGGCCGCCCGAGGGGTCTTCACCGCCCTGGCCGCCCGAAGGGTCTTCTCCACCGTGGCCACCTGAACTGCCTGCTCCACCCTGGTCGCCTGCACAGCCTGGTCTGCCCACGCTCCATGGCCCAGGTCCGCCATGACTATGTCCTCATCCCTCCCCCGGGACCACCTCCACCTCCGCGTCACCACCCTCCTGAACTATTTTTTTTGTTTTGATGGGCGTCGGGAGCCGCCCATGGGGGGGGGGGGGGGCTATGTCACGGTTTGGGTTTTGTGTCTTGTTCCTTGTTCTTGAATGTCAGGTGATTCCCTGTTTGCCATGTGTCTTGTCTATTGTTCCCAGGTGTTTCTCGTTAGCCACGCCCCCTTATCTCGTTTAGCTTGTTTGTCCTTGTATTTAAGCCCTGTGTTTCAGTTCAGTCCTTGTGAGTTCTTATGTTGTTGTGACGTTGTAATGTTTGCCTGTAGCTGTCTCCTTGTTCCTGTTCTGAGTTTCCTGTTCTGAGTTTTCCCTGGATTACCTTTTGTTTAATTAAATGTGTGCTTGCAATTGGATTCACTCTTAGTCTCTGCTTCAACGTGACAGTATCGCTCTGTCTGTTTGGATATGCCATAGGATTTATTAAAAGACTACATTCTCTCTTCATCATCGTGTTCGAGTTTGATCATCAACACAGCGTTGTGACACCTGTTAGCTATTTACATTACATCAGCTGGCCAAATTTCTAATCACCCAATAGGTTTCATCGACATGTAACCATGGAGGTCAATGTTCATGCATTTATTCCATGTTGCAGAAGTACAGAACGAGCAGCTTTTGCAGCTATAGGTTTCAATATATATATTTTTTGGGGGGGCTGGGAAGTAAGTTTTGAGTTCTGAAAGTTACAATATGATTTCACAGTACCTCAAGCTCTTTTACCTCAAAAGATCAAGGAACATATTTATGACATGACCCCTTTAAACACTATTGGTTCTGAATAGACCTCATTTAGACCAGGAGTATTAGATTTCAACAAACAAAAACGTTAAGGCCCTTTGCGAGACTAAGCCTTCAATAGAGCATCCTATCTTCATGTGCTAAGCACTAAGAACCCAAAGAGGAGGTATTGCTCTTGTTGTTGTGGTTTAGTCTGTTATGTGATAGAAGCTGAATGCCAAGCCAAACTATATGTACACCCACTAAATTCTCCCATCTTGCCAGGAAGAGAGACTGGAGATTGGAGAGGAAAGGAGGACAGGAAGGGGGTGGGTAAAAGCAGATGGTGAGGTGAATTGATGTTGGCACGCTTCCTCAACATCTCCCTTTGATCTTTTGCAGAGTCGTCCTGACCAGCAAGGTCCTATACATCTTCCCATCAAATTTCAAAGGTCATGCCAGAATACCAGCATCGATGATGAGATGCATATCTCATTAAATGGAATCTGCCTGAACTTTCATTGAACATGGCTGAGCGACGGCAGTTCCAGTAAATCAATGTCTTGTTTCTACACTGTCACTAATCGTGTTAGCATTGCAGCTACTGTACTGCTGCATGGAAAGATAAGCTCAAACAGGCAAAATAGAGAGGAGACACGATACGAGGGCTGGTATTTCTATCTGTAACCCGTACATTGACTCCGACGGTCTCATTCAGGCTTACCCAAAAGTCTACATGGATTAGCTATAATTCCATCCTTCCTTTAGCTACACCTTTCACCGAGCCCACATAATCTGGTGTGAATGGATACTTAAGGCATGTAGTCTTTCATTTGCTGCCAAAAGAGTAAAACCTAAATTATACAGGCTTGTCATTTCGGCATGGACGTCACTCTGAAAGCTTATCACCCGTGAGAACTTGTTGACAAAAATGGGTTTTCCGCCTCGGCTTTCCTGGGAGCGTCGAGAAATGCCATGTTTCTCAACTTTACAAAGTTACTACTGAAGTTAATGCACATCCTATTCTCTAGTTTTTGAGAAACAAATAAATTAAGGGGGAACAACACAGAAAGCAATAAACACTGTACACCCCAGTCATATTCAGCTTGCCACATCACAATAATGAGTGTACGAATAGCAAAAGTGAGTTTGAAGAAAGCCACCAGGAGTTTCTTACCTGCTGATGAAAAGGAGGAGGAGCAAAGAGCCCACAAAGCTACACAAATGCATGGCTGCTTGAGAGTTACGCGTCCCACTGAGAAATGAGAGATAAAAAAAAATGGAGAGATTATGTAGAGATTCAACAGATTTGTACATAGAGATTAAGCATTACTGACAAATTTTGCAGTTAGCATAAGCGCTCAACATTTTAGCTTAATGATGAGCCAGGAAAAATTAGGACAGGTTTTCTCAATCCTAAGTGTGTTTAGAGACTGTTAACAAAATCTAACCCTTACTCAAGTTTTGACTGAAGCTATAAGGCAATACCATTAAAAAAGATTTCAAAATGCTATCAATAATTTACATCACAGCATACTTTGAGAAAAAAAAAATTGACTAGCTAACCAATTGAGATATACAGTGGGGAGAACAAGTATTTGATACACTGCCAACTTTGCATGTTTTCCTACTTACAAAGCATGTAGAAATCTGTAATTTTTAGGTACTCTTCAACTGTGAGTGACAGAATCTAAATCAAAATCCAGAAAATCACATTGTATGATTTTTAATTAATTAATTTGCATTTTATTGCATGACATAAGTATTTGATACATCAGAAAAGCAGACCTTAATATTTGGTACAGAAACCTTTGTTTGCAATTACAGAGATCATACGTTTCCTGTAGTTCTTGACCAGGTTTGCACACACTGCAGCAGGGATTTTGGCCCACTCCTCCATACAGACCTTCTCCAGATCCTTCAGGTTTCGGAGCTGTCGCTGGGCAATACGGACTTTCAGCTCCCTCCAAAGATTTTCTATTGGGTTCAGGTCTGGAACCTGGCTAGGCTAGGCCACTCCAGGACCTTGAGATGCTTCTTACGGAGCCACTCCTTAGTTGCCCTGGCTGTGTGTTTCGGGTCATTCTCATGCTGGAAGACCCAGCCACGACCCATCTTCAATGCTCTTACTGAGGGAAGGAGGTTGTTGGCCAAGATCTCACGATACATGGCCCCATCCATCCTCCCCTCAATATGGTGCAGTCGTCCTGTCCCCTTTGCAGAAAAGCATCCCCAAAAAATGATGTTTCCACCTCCATGCTTCACGGTTGGGATGGTGTTCTTGGGGCTGTACTCATCCTTCTTCTTCCTCCAAACACAGCGAGTGGAGTTTAGACCAAAAAGCTCTATTTTTGTCTCATCAGACCACATGACCTTCTCCCATTCCTCCTCTGGATCATTAAAACTTCAGACGGGCCTGGACATGCGCTGGCTTGAGCAGGGGGACCTTGTGTGTGCTGCAGGATTTTAATCCATGACGGCTTAGTGTGTTACTAATGGTTTTCTTTGAGACTGTGGTCCCAGCTCTCTTCAGGTCATTGACCAGGTCCTGCCGTGTAGTTCTGGGCTGATCCCTCACCTTCCTCATGATCATTGATGCCCCACGAGGTGAGATCTTGCATGTAGCCCCAGACCGAGGGAGATTGACCGTCATCTTGAACTTCTTTCATTTTCTAATGGTTGCGCTAACTGTTGTTGCCTTCTCACCAAGCTGCTTGCTTATTGTCCTGTAGCCCATCCCAGCCTTGTGCAGGACTACAATTTTATCCCTGATGTCCTTACACAGCTCTCTGGTCTTGGCCATTGTGGAGAAGTTGGAGTCTGTTTGATTGAGTGTGTGGACAGGTGTCTTTGGTAACGGGTTCAAACAGGTGCAGTTAATACAGGTAATGAGTGGAGAACAGGAGGGCTGCTTAAAGAGAAACTAACAGGTCTGTGAGAGCTGGAATTCTTACTGGTTGGTAGGTGATCAAATATTTATGTCATGCAATAAAATGCAAATTAATTACTTAAAAATCATACAACGTGATTTTCTGGATTTTTGTTTTGTTTTACCCATGATAAAAATGACAGACTTCTACATGCTTTGTAAGTGGGAAAACCTGCAAAATCGGAAGTGTATCAATACTTGTTCTCCCCACTGTATATGGAAAAATGTAGTGAAAATAGCCAATTTAAATCATTTCCAATACTTATGAATGATTTATGAAACTTTCATACAGTTTGTCCTGTGAAATCCTTAACCTCAGACCTGTCTCTGTAATTGACCCTTGAAAAGATGCATTCTGATGCATATAATCCCAGAACACATAGTGAAATAATCCCTCAAAGATGTCTCTGAGAACAGATTTACTGATGGTGACATAAAACTCGATAGATACGGTGCATTTTTCCAGGGAATTATGTAAAACCACTTAAGCTATGAGACCACCAACTACGCAAAGACGACAAGATACAACAGTATAAGTAGTATTTAGGTTTTAAAATGATTCTCAATTCCCTCATTCTTGAATACTTTCCAGTTGGCTCTGAGCCGATCTGCCTGGTAAATACAATATTTATCTGGCACTATATTTCATAGATACTTTTTATCTTCTCAATGTCTATTTTGAGCCTTGATGGCAAAAAATTGTCTGTGATTCTTTGCTCAGTCTTCCAGCACCATTGCAATCTGTGTGCAGCTGCGACGATGAGTTTGAGACAACAGACGTCTGCCCTGCAGCATGTGTTCATACACATACAATGTGCAGGAAGATGTAAAAATGCTTAAATTTGAATTGCACGGGTAGTGCTTCAAAGTACTTAAAGCGGGCATCGTGTCATGTTGACATGGCCAAACAAACACAAAACTGTCATATTGTTAACATGAAAAAGGAAAATCTGTTCTTGACCCAGATTAATACATTGTTTTTTTTTTTACACAGATCAACACAAGCAAAAAAACACAAACACTGAGATGTAATACTCTTCTATTCTGCCTGTCAGTGCTATTGAATCCCGATTGCTCCACATACTGCAACTCATCTAACAGAACATTTAATTTCATTATTTATTATTTTAACACTCCTGTCTCTTTTCTACTCATCGGCTCTTCATGATGGTTTGTGGTGGAGGTGGGTAGCAGAATAAGTACCACTGTACAAAAGTACAAAATAGGTTTTCTGTAACAAATTTTGAAAGGTAAAAAAAACTTGATTCCACACAACTGAAACACACTTAAAATATCTTCTTTTATGCACAGAAGAAAGAAAAGCATACAGGGTTGGAACATCATGAGGGTGAATAAATAATGACAGAATTATTTTTAAGTGAACTTGCCCTTTCATTTTTGTAAGCACAAGTCATCAGAAGTTGACACATCCTTACAAGGAGAAAATATTGATGTCTCCAGGCTTATTTGTCCCCGCATACATGAAACATGCAGCATTCCCCCAGCTCCCCATTGCTAAAGCTGTTCTATCTAATTCCTATACCCTCGTGGTTTGTGACTCAGTGGCTGCTTGAAGGATCCTGGTCTTAAGACTGAGATGTAACTCATTTAGAGTGACAGATGACATCTTCAATGAGGTCTGGACCTTGATAGGGAAGACTCCGCGGGAAGGTTACACTGCGGACTTGTTTAATAACCTTACCAGGAAACCCAAAAAGCCTGAAGCTGGGAATGCTTTGGTGGTTATGGGTATTGGATATCCGTGCTACAGATATACTGTTCAGTCCTCTTGACTTTCTCATGTAATATACACTACCATTCAAACATTTTTTTTTCTCATGCTCACTAGGCTGCATTTATTTGATAAAAAAAATACTGTATAACATGTAAACTGTATTTCTGTGATGGTAAAGCAAAATTTTCAGCATCATTACCCCAGACTTCAGTGTCATGTGATCCTTCAGAAATCATTCTAATATGCTGATTTGGTGCTCAAGAAACATGTCCTACTATTATCAATGTTGAAAATGGTTGTGCTGCTTAATAATTTTATGGAAACTGTGATCATTTTTCTAGGATTATTTGATGAATAGAAAGTTCAAAAGAAAATCATTTATTTAAAATAAAAATCTTTTGTAACATTAAAAAACATTTTTGATCAATTGAATGTGTCCTTGCTGAATAAAAGTATATATTTTTATTATTAAAAAAAATCAAACTGATCCCAAACCTTTAAACACTGGAATAATTAAAAGACTTAACGGCTGTCTGACATTGCTAAGCTACATCCATCTAAAAAGCAAAGAGCCTCAGCTATTTTTCTTTATTGCACACCTTCTTGCTATATTGACTTCAAACACCAGATATCTCAGTGAGAATCTAGGTCAGTGAATGACTGAGTTCTGTCTCTTGCAACGGCAGGGTCCAATTACTGTTCTTTGACAAACTGAAAAATATCTCCACGAGAACCTTCTGAATTAATCATGAAAGCAAAACAGGAGCATTACGTGAAGCATTTTATTTTTAAAGCCTTTCTTAGCCTTTTAATTTACTAAAAAGCCATATTTCTTTTTTGCTGTTCATTTGTGTGCATGATGTAGCAGGGAAAACATCTCATCTTTCCACTTAGAATATTGTAAATAATAAAATATGAATGTGGAAGAGAGAGAGAGTTTGTGCACAGGGTAAATGTGATCGTCCTGCCTTTGATAGAGATTATCTGGGCATCTCATGGCACCCAAGATAAACCGCTTTCAACACAACTGATCATTTACCAGCTAAAAGAGCTCATGAGAAATGCTGATTTGAAAACCAATGGAGAGCTTAGCCTTAAGCCATCAGCTAATCACAAGATAGAAATCTGGACAGTTTCTCAAAGTTTTTCAGGCCACAGTCTATAGTAATGTATGGCAACAGACACCAATAAGTCATTATGTCACTTGAGGACGTCAGAATAATCTCAATTCAAGGGCCTTAACTTAACTTAAAGGGTAGTAAAACACAGCCCGATCTCACGGCAATTCGTACGAATTTTACGAGGTGGCTAATTCGTACTAATTCATACGACCTCACTCGAAATTCGTACGATTTTTGCTAATTCGTACATATTTTACGAGTTACCAAATTCGTATAAATTCGTACGAATGACCTACCCCTGACCCCGCCCCTAAACCTACCCATCACGTGGGTTTAGACAAATCGTACAAATTCGTACGAGTGAGGTCGTATGAATTGGTACGAATTAGCCAGCTTTTAATCACTCGTACGAATTTGTACGAATTGGTCGTGAGATAGCGTTGTAAAACATCATAAAAGTAA